CGCTTGAGTTCTCCCCGCGATTCATGCAGGACGCCTGGGCCTGCTCGACCTGGCCGCCTGGGCCCGCCTTCCCGACCCGCCCGTTAGGGTCTGCCCGCCCGATCTGCCCGTCTGGTTCTGCCACATGTTTTCTGCTCCTAGCCCCCCTCCTGCTAATTTCTCTGGTGCTCCATCCATCTCCCTTCCCCTTCCATCTGTCATCGCTTGCCTTGCTTTAGGGGCTACAATGAATTCATGTGGCAGGTAAGGGCGATGTAACCCCAGGAGGTTCGATCGAAAACGAAGACGACGCATCGAGGGTTTGGGACATATGCTTTGGATGGCATGCGAGCAGATCGGAGCGAATAGTCTTCAACGTTTGATGTTGGCGTTGTTGCTGTTGTCGTTGCTGATGATGCTGCTGCTTGCTGTATGAAAAGAGCTCGCAGATGGTGCTTGGGCGCGTAGTGGGAAGGCGCCAGGTACTGCGAAGAGGCCCGCCGCAGGTGCCGATATTGTTGCACGAGCAGCCCGCCGCGGGTGCTGCTTCGTCTGCGGATCATCGTGGGTGAGTTGTAAGATGTGGGTCGCGGGCCGAATCGCTGCTGGGACGTGGTGGGTCGCGGGGAGGATCGCGGGGTGTGTCGCGGGGTAGGTCGCGTGTGGGTCGCGGCGGGGTCGCGGTTGGGTCGTGGTTTGGTCGCGGGGCGTGTCGCGGGGCGACGACAACAGTGAGAGTAACAACAAAAGTCCAGGCCGTGGACCCTCACTTCAGCCGCGCACCTGGGGACAGTGCAAGACCGTTCGGTCTCGCAGCCCAGATGCGGACCGTTTACAAAAGTGCCGCGAGAAACGAATGCGTGCGCGACAACGTCAACACAGGGCATCGACGAGCATGCGCGCCATCAGTCAGCGACTCTGGGCAGATACGCCCTGATGTAAGCGCACGGGGCCCCGTACAATGTCCTGGGCCACCCCGCTGGCGCGATGGGCGCAGCCGCCGCGGAACTACATCTTCAGTTTCCGGATGAAGTATTAGTCGCTAAAGGGGATAGGCATCCGAAGACGTCACCAGAGTTTATTGGTTCACACGCGGCGGGCCTCTTAGCTCATTTACGCCGGCGAAGCGTGTCGTAGACGCGATGTGTGGCAAGTGCGCGTGGTGGTGGAGAGCTGGCGTGAACATGAGCTCAGGGCAAATCATCAGTCGATGCAGCGCCGCTTAGCAGATGCAGCGTCCTATGAAGATTTGTTCAAAGAGTCTACTGTTGGGGATTGGGGGGGCTCACCAGGTGCATCGCACGCGCAACGGCATCCGCCAGCAACAGTATCGGAATGGTGCCTGTGCGTTTCGTGATGATGTTTTTTTCGCTGGGGCGCTGGGAAGCTCATCCGCAACTCGCACACTGCTGCTGGTCGCGTTCGCCACCTTGACCATGGTAATTATCACCCGCCGCAGGAACAGTGTGTGTGTATGTGTGTGTGCGCGCGTTGCCAGGCTAGAACGGTAACGATTAGTCTGACGGCATTTGTTTCCGTCGTGCATGCCTCTGTGCTTGCCCCTGCCTGGGATGATGATATAGAGACAACGTGTTCGAGGGGCTAGCCGAGGGGGCGCTTCTCCCCCACGACGAGTCTGGCCAACGACGGCGTGCCCACCCACTGGATGCAGCACCCGGCTCCGCTGGAGCGGCCCCCCCTTTCACCGTCCGTGCAGAGGGCGCCCCCCCCCCCCAACCGATTCCAGCGCCCGCATCGCCGTGGTGGTGCAGGAGGTCGGTCCGTGCGCAACCAGGAACGCGGACGGTGCAGCGATCGGCACCGATGGTGGGATGTGTGCGCGCCGATGAAGCAGCCAGCCTGCCGGCAGGCGCCCCGCGAGAGTGTCTTATTCCCCGAGGCTCCCGTGGACCTCCGGAAGTCTTGGGACGCAGTCGGCAGTGGACCAGATCAACGACAACTGTGCCCGTGCATTTCTTTTGCCAGGAGTTCTTTTCGCAAGTACTTGTTGCGGTTCCAAGCAATTCCCTATCGAACCTTCCTGCCCGAGGCTGGGGCCCTGTCAGGCGCAGTCTCCCAGGTTGGCCACAGGTAGCTCTGAAGTGTCGGGTTCGGGCTCTCTGGCTGCTGGGGCTGCTCCAGATTCGGCAGCAGCTCGCAGATGTTGCCCGACGAGCGCAAAAGAGGCGAGCTGCGTTCTCGGCCGCTTGGTCGGGGCCCGACTGGTGCTGCTCGGCGGCGAGCCGAGTGGCCGATGAGAGGGCTGATGGGAAAGCACGGCGGATGTAAAGGTATTTATCCTGCTACGCGTCCCTCGTTTCCCCCTCTTTTGGTACTCCTGAGAGGCCCTCTCCCCACAAAAGGGCCAGCGAGGAGCATCGTGGAGCATCCAGCGAAGCACTGCACGCACGAAGACGAAACATGCACGGAGAACGGCCGTCCGAGCCCCGAGTGGCATGTTGTCGGCGAGGGCTGGTGGGGAAGCTTTCCAGAAGGCAAGAGGGATTTGAACCTTCTGTGAGGGCCCGCCCACGCCCCACATTTGCCTTACACCCCCTGCGCGTGCCGATGTCGGCACCATGCCGATAGAACGATTTCCCTGGTGGGTTCCCCCTTCTCGGCGCAGGAGCGGGAGGATGCGGGGGGGTCGCTGAAGGACGGCATGGACGTGTTGCACGGAACGGTCCTCAGATCGGTGGGTGCCCGCCTTCAGCGGTGGATTGCCAGGTTGGCGCTGTTCACCGCGATCTGGCGCCATCCATCAGGCTTTTGGCGGCGCGTGCAGCGAGCGCGCGCATGTACGAATCGCTATAGCGCTTGGAGCACTGCGTCGGCCAAGGGAAGTTCCGATTGTGGTCGTTTTTTTCATTGTTTTGCCGATCGGCGCGGGCCCTCGCACCCCCCCTCCCCCTAAGGAGTCGGTCTTGGCTGTTTCTGGCGTTTGTTTCGAGCAGATGCCCCTACCCCATAGGGCGCACGGTTCCAAACAGTCGCACTGAGCAGAGGTCCGGAGCCAGGCCCCCCCCTTTCCCCCCCCATTCCGCCCAATTTCGAAACGCCAAGCCAAAAAAATGCTCAAATTGGGAATCATGTCGCTTCACGGCGCCGTCTAGACATCTGGCCAGCCCGTGTTTTGAGTGCCACGCTCAGGCTCAGCTAGAGATGCGCAAAAGCTCGAGACTATGGCTGCCCGAGACGCGACGCAGGCCGCTTCCAGACAAAAAGACCGTAGTCTTAAGTGGTATACTTCAGTCGGGCCTGTCCGGCTACAGGGGGAAAATTCAAAAATGATCAAGAAGAACCAGAGAAAGATGTGTTCCTATTTTTGACAATTTTGGTAGATTGTTTGATTTTTTGTTCGTCCAAAATCGCCCTGTAGTGGGACATGCCCGACCCAAATTGTATACTTGGAGATCTCTTCTGTCCAGAATGCTGATGTACCGTAGACTCGCGAACGGCAATGTAGGCAACGGCGATGTAGACTTCGGCATTGTAGGTGGGACTGCTTCGTGGCCAAGCCAATTGTAGGACAGCGTGGCCCTTGCTTTCCTACACTTCGCTGCGCCGTTCTCGCTCGATACATTCGCACATTTGAAGTTTAGGGAAGTGTGGTTCGTGATTTCCCTACCAATTGTTCTGCGCGAGCTCGGTGTCACAAACACCAGATTCCCAACATCTCTGTTAACCAACATCGCCATTAACGCGGCCTTGGACGTACCCTCTTCATGTAGAGACGCGGTCTCGGCATGGATCTTTTTCAGATTCAACGCGGGGTCCACACGGAATCGACATGTTTCCGACTTCGACGTGGATTCTACGCGGACGACGGCGCGATGGGACAGGCAAGTTTCTTCGAAGATGTTTCATCATATGGTCGGATCCGTGGCGTTGTGATGGGAAGCGACCCTTCCCCTCTCACCCCCTGTTTCTGGCCGCGCCTCTCACCTCCCCTTGCGCCCCTCCACTACTTGACCAACGGAGCCGCCCGCTTTTGTAGAGTTCTGTAGTTGCCAGAACGTCGCAGTAATGTGTGGCACCCACGAGCTGTTCTCTCGTCGTGTCTCCACCAATCGTCCTCCTCTTCCTCTCTTCCTCCTCCCCGTTCTCCCAGCTGACGTGCGCTCCTCCTCGTCCTCCCTCGACGGTACTTTCGCGTCGTCTTGTTCGGCGGCGACCCCGCCAGCGGCGTTCAACTTTGAACGCCGCGGGCGACCCAGAATCGCTCGATGTGGAACGATTTGGACGTTTCGGAAACGGCGGATCGTTCAAGGTTGACCTATCCCCGCGGTGTCAGAAACCAGCGCCGAAGTCGGCACGACACGAACCTGACGTACCGTTCTCTCCTCGGGAGGTCTCCAGGGGTCTCTTGTAACCCCCGCACAGGGCAGCGTGAACGGACCTCCGACCCCGGTCTTCGACCTCCTCCCCCGCCGCCCCAGGAGATGTCTGACGACCGGCCTGGGGACGACTACCACATCGACGGACGCGGCCCGGGCCCACGCTCCAAAGACACGCGCCGGCGACACTCCCTGCTCTCGACTACGCGTAAGAGTGACGCCTCGCCAGAGTGACCTAGGGTGCGGGCTCATCGGGGCCGATTGTCGAGCGCGATGCTTTCGCGGCTGCTTGCGACATGCGCGTTTGGATTTGGGCACTTTGCGCCCGCTCATTCCGCGCACCAGAAGTCACTCTTGCCTAGGGTCACTCTTGCGTGTGGCCGATGCTCTCCCGATGCGCCGCAGACTTTCGGGCACCGCGGCGTGTTCTACTCAAGTACTCAAGTCTATCTGCGGCGCGGTAGCACGAATGCTGACCAGCGCTCAAGCGCCGTGCGATGGTTGATTGGTGCTGCGGCTAGAGTCGCAAATACATCGCCAGAAGGACAAGGACGGTCTGAGTTAGCCCAGGCTGCGTCAACGATGCTGCAATAGACACTGGATGAGGAGGAGGAGGAGGAGGAAGAGGAGGACCTGAGTAAACCTACAGTGCGTCAGCGATGCCGCAATATACCCGGATGAGGAGGAAGAGGAAGAGGAGGAGGATAGGCAGGATTCCGTAGCCATTTTGGCTCAAGGGTGTTGTTCGCACGGAGGTGTTCTTTGGGCATATTGCCAGCGAGGCGCCATGACGCCGACGACATTGGCATTGATTGTCTCAGCCCTGTTGTATGCCATCCTACCTGCTTCTGGCGAGATCTTCCATCTCGACAAGAGACTCATCCCAGCCGCTTACTCGCTCCAGGGCCTCATGGCCTTCACGGTCTACGTGCCTCTGGATGGGCCGACGGCGCAAGCTGGGGGCAGCCCTTTTGTCGAGTTCAATGGTGTACAGGCGCACTCTACCGACCTAACAAATGATGATGAGACCCTTGCACACTATGGGAGCTTCCAGCTCTCGCTGATCAGCATGGACGAGTACGATCAACGTATCAGCAAGGGCCCCACCTGCGACCACAATGGCCAGCTGTCCAACGAAGGAGCCTCCATGTCGAAGTACAACGTCGGTTTCGGGTTCACCAAGACGCAGTTCATGCACAGCGATATCAACAAGACAGGCGTGCATGTCCTGCTCATGTCGAAGAGTGGAAGCTTCCCTCAAGACGAGGTAACGGGTCAGGTCGTTGTGAGGAATACGTTCGGTTGCATGTCCGCCATCCAATACCACAAGCTTCGGGAATTCTAGAATGCCTGCTGATTCTGATCACAGTGGTTTCGTCCTACTCGTCCTACCTTTTCATCCTTGTGATCTCGCAGGGCTGGAGGATGACAGAGGCTCTGGAGGACTGCACGCTGGTCAAGATTCACGTGTTCGGGCTCATCCGGGTCTATTTTAGAAACTTGCGTGAAGCTGCCATGGTTCATCGGCATTGCTTTCACATCTCCTCCAATTTCGTGACCATGACGGCCCTTGGCGCTGTGACAACCGCCAGCATACTTTTCGCTTGGATCCTCATGTCCCTCGCCGGGCTCCCCAAGAGCCTCAAGAAGCGCAACCTGGAAAACCAGTTGAAGGCGGTCTCCCGTTTTGCCGTCGCCTTTCTCGTCGGGGTCGTCGCGAGCGTCCTAGGGGCGCTCGTCCAGCTCCTGGACTGCCTGGGCTCCCTGGCAGCTCCTTGGAAGCACCAGTACCTCGCCGATGGCGGCCTTGCACATGTCATCATCGTTATGTGGATGTGGATGCCGTCGGCCGACTCGGGGCAGCTGGGCTACGCCGCCCCGATCTGCCAGAACGACGATGACGGCCTGTGGAAGGAGGACGTCGCCGACAAGTACGCGGAAGAGAACGGTGGCAGCAAGATCGCCTTGGCCGCTGTTGGAGCGGCGGACGATGACCTCTGATCCCCCTGAGGGCAGGCGCTCAGCTCTAGGGGGGTAGGCAGGATGACCTGAGTAAACCCATGATATTTCGATGATGCTGCAGAGACCCCGGAGGAAGAACAGGATGACCTGAGTAAGGTCAGGATACGTCGACGATGCTGCCGTACATCCCAGAGGGGTAGGAAGGGAGGAGTGGAGGAGGGGGAGGAGGAGGAGGAGGAGGAGGAGGAGGTGTAGGAGGAGGACAAGAGAGAGGAGGAGTCTGAGATCCTAGTCTACCCATGATGTGTCAGCGGCGCTGGGATGGACTCACGCCCCCTCTCTCGCGTTCAACCTCGGCGCTGCTTCAAACCTACGAGCTCCAGAACCAAATTCCGAATTTCTACAAGCCCCAAGCAGGACCCGAACAAACCCCCGAACAGGAACCGAACAAACCTCCAGACTTCTATCGCTCAATTCCCCTGACCTCCCTGGCGAGGCCTTCTGGGGCCGCCTGGAGTAGCCTTCTGGGGCCGCCTAGAGGCCTTTGGGACCGCCTGGATGGGCCTTCTGGGACCGCCTGGGGGGGCCTTCGGGGGGGCGCCTGCAGACGCCTCCTGGGGCCGCCTGGGCTGGGGCCGCCTGAACACGCCGCCTGGAGACGCTTCCCGGGGCCGCATGGAGAACTCTTCAAGGGCCGCCTGGAGACGCCTCCTGGGGCCGCCTCCGCCTGGGCACGCTTTCCGGGGCCAGGCCGCCTGGACACGCCTCCTGGGGCCTGGGGCCGCCCGGAGAAGCCTTCAGGGGCCGCTTGGAGACGCCGCAGACGGCCGCCTGGACACGCCTCCTGGGCCCGCCCGCCTCCTGGGGCCGCCTGGCTGGGACCGCCCGAAGTCCACTTCCTGTGGCAACCTGGAGATCCCTCCTGGGGCCGCTTGCCGAGGCCGTCTGGAGAAGCCCTGGGGCCGCCTGGAAGCCGCTGACTGGGGCCTCCTCGAGAGGTCTTGGGGCCTCCTGGGCCGTCCTGAAGGGTGTGCCGAATGATTCAGCTGCCCCCGCGCGAACACGCCCACTGAGGCCGCAGGTGGACCTCCTCGGGGCACAACCCGTGCAAGGCATGTTCCGACATGGGCAGGGGGGCGCCATGCGAAGCTGCAAATTGGTGCCACATGTGGAACTTCTTCTGGGGCATGATTCGCGTGACGGGTGTGCCGACATGGCCGGGGGGGGCGCTGTACTCTGGGCTTTTAGGTGGTACTCCTTGTGGGCACGATCCACGTGATGCTGCTGTGCCGCCATGGCCCGAGAGCGCTCCACGAGGGGCGACTATGGCAGCAAGACGGCCTCAGAGGCCCCCCAGTCGCCCAAAGAGGCCACCGCGAGGACCTCCAGGAGGGACTCAGGAGGGACAACACATCCCTAAGGTTTTTGAAGTTTTTTGGGGCTCTCGCCTTTTCTTTCGGACCACAAGCGGCCAAAGACGGTTCTAACACGCCCACTCCGTGCAGGCACGGGGGCGAATCTACACGCATATACACCCTTATACATGTGTACACACCTCTGTATCTACAAACGTATACATCATACTATGACATAACATAGCATGGTGTGATGTAATGGTTTAGTATATCACAGTATGTATACAATCATTTAGAATGATTGCATGTAGTCTTATAAACAAACCATACGACAACACAGCATATGTGTATATGATCTGGCATGATATATCGTATACGTCTCTGAGATGGCGAGCTATACTGTACGGGACTATACCATAACATGATATCAGTTAATGTTTATACATCTATATGTGTGTTTTGCAAATTTAATAGCTTACAATGCAACACAGTCGAACGTTTGATTTTATAACATATCAGGAATATCATACTTCTCTGCATTAAAATGTAGTAGGTCGTATGATGGAACACCATACGCTATCATATAGTATAGTATAGTATGATGCACGATCATATTACGGGGGACTGGGTTCCCCGCCCCTGGGGCGGCACACTTTTCCCCAACTCCCCCCTCGCTTTCGGAGGGCCCCAAGGCGCTCCCCAGACGGGCCAGGAGGCCTCCGAGAAAGTCCAAGAGCGCGCCAAGACGCCCAAGATGGCTTCTAGACGGCCCGCGAGGCTCCCTAAACCCGTCAAGAGGGCTCCAAGAGGACACCCATGAGGGCCGCAAGATACAAACATCGCCCCAATTCTCCGGGGGAGCGTATATTTTTAGCATCTTTTTGGGGGGGTATGAAAAGCGTCCACGGCGGCGTGAGAGAATCTTAAGATCGCCCCAGGA